ACATAAAAATAACTTTTCTGCATTCGCGACGAGAAAGTAATAATCTATTATGTAACTATACAAGCGGAAACTATCAGACAGGTGGCAATTAGGGTCACGTCGGACGTAACCCCATTCCACCTGTTAACAATCGAAAACTATTGCTTTAGGGTAAATACGGGAAATATGGATCAATAATTTTGCATCAAGTTTTTTCCCTCTCTCCCGGGCTTATCCTATTTATTATTATTGCTAATGCAGTTGAGAAATGTTTTTTGACGCACTTGGAACGAAAGTGAAGCTTTTTCGCAGAAAAATGCGACACTCGGCGTAAGGCAATCGTAGATCGCAGTGGGCTTAGATAAAGATGAGATAGGTTGGATTGTAGTCACGTTTTCGAAAAATGTGGCGGAGGGTTTGATAAATTACCAGGTTTGCCGTCTACCAGGAAAAGCTAAAGAGCAATCTCTTTTCTTTGTTGCTTACAAATGTTAAAATAGTTATTTACATTCCCGTGTGGTAACTGGCATTTTACAGGGCAAAATTAATCTGTTAATAACTGAGCTCTTTAAAATGTATGACTCAAGATTTGTAGAAAATTAGAAATTTAAAAAGTGGTGCAAAACGGCATTTCAATAAATATGTTTTCGATAAAAAAAAAGGATATATTTTATAAATGTGTCTGAAGACTGGTGTTTTTTGGAGTTTTTACCCCACACCGTGCGTAAAACACTTTTTTAGTTTTAGTTAATAATAAAATGAAGTGAAAAGTTGAAAAGTATGACATTTCAACTTCATTTAACAATTGATATATGAAATATCAGGTTAAGGTTGGGAAGTGGTCACTTCCTTACCAGTTGATATGTAGTATGACAGTGCAGGTTGGGAAATGGCCACTTCCTAACCTAAACTGTCGTGTTTTTTAAAGTTTCATAAATCCTTTATTAGCTTTCTGTTTTAAGAAGAATGATTGTGAGTAAAATAGTATACAAACTTTGGTGGTCGTTGCTTCATCGTAGTTCCGCTTATTGCTAACCTTGTATTTCTACAGTGTTAAATATTGTCAGTTTAATTTTTTAAAGTTACTTTTAAATTAAATTGGCAACATTGAACTATGTAGACAGAAGATATAAGACTTGTCAATTTCAATATTCTCTCTTCAACTGATTTAATTAAATGAGAGGATTTTGAGCACTTTTGAACAATTGAGTTGTCTAAATTAAAAATTCTCTTCAATTAGTTTATTTGGTAAGAGTGGTAACATGGAAAAACACACTAGATATGAAAATTGGCATGTCACGTTTTCTATCTATTGTCATTTTGAAACTAAATTGGCAACATTGAATTATGTAGACTTGCCAATTTCATATATTCGCTCTTCTTGGAATGAGAAGGCTTTGAACACGTTTAAAAAAATAAATTAACAACATTAAAAAAAAACGTACTAGAAGTGTCATTCAACTTGTGTTTCCACTTCGATTTGTAATTTACTATTTTATCGTTGTCAATCGTTAATTTGACGTTTATAGATTAGGAGGCCAGAAAGACATTTTTTAAGGAAAAATGACTCGTTATAGGATGTTATATTACTCTTATTACTAAATATTGCTTCAATCTCAAGTTTACTTTACTCCTTACATAACGAATGTTTTTTTTCTAATAAATTATGAAGGTGGAAAAATTAATTTATTTTGTACTAAAGTGGGTTACTTTGTCGTATTAATTAATTAATCAATTCATGTAACACATTTTATATAACAGACCGTGACCTTGACTTGCATTATTGATTTAATTTCTTGTTTAGGCAAGACATAGAACGGAAGCTACTACTACTAGAGGTGTATTGAAAAAAAAAATTACATCTGAGGATAATTTCAAAACAAAATGCTTTATTTTTAAAGAGAAAAGTTTTCAGTTCACAATTCACAAACTAACCGAAAGTAAAATGAATTTTTGCCTAACGGTAGCATTTAACAACCTAATAATGTTTGTTATTTATATTAATTACTGTTATTACGCGTAGAATTTAAATACCAACATTCAGTTTTATATCCGTAATAAATATTTGTATGCAATAATAAACGTCACATACTCGCACCACTATATCAAAAGAAAACCGATATAAAAATTTGCAAACTAAACCGATCAAACTTTCTTTACTCCGGAAGCTTTTCCATTATAATTGCGCAACTCATCTTATCGCAATATTGACTAAAACAATAACTAATTGCATAATTCGCGTTTTCCCACGGGGAGAAACTCACAATGGAGTAGGAAAACAGGAGAGAAAAAAACCGTTTTTTTTGCGCTGCGAATTTAAAATTACACAGAGTGTTCAAGTCCAGCCGAGATGTTCATTAAAAGAGAAATATTATGACAAAATTTTGGCTTGCACGACGTGAATATTAACCGTTCAATTAACCAACCGTGAGGATGAATTTAAGGCCTCGCTGGATCATATTTACATGGATGCGTGCTGCGATTATGGCCTTTATGAGGAAGCTAAATCTTGCCAGTCTCCGAGCCCGGATTATTTATGGGATGGAAATTAAGTCGGCCGACGGTTTCGGGTTAAATTTTTCAAAAAAAGTTTTAAAAGAGTTAATTGGAATGAGAGAACCTTGAAAAATTGGGTTGGCAGCATTGAAAAGCAGACTAGAAGTGACATTTGACATGTCACGTTTTCTACCTATATTACGAAATGTTGCCAAGTTAATTCTATTCTAACCTCACTTTGAAATTAAATTGGCAGCATTGAATGATGTGGAGATAAAATTTATGAGAGTTGCCAATTTAATTTTTTCTCTCTCCAAATGATTTAATTAGAATGAGAAATCTTTGGAAAGCGGTAGAGTTTAAAAAATTAAATTGGCAACATTAAAAAACATACTAGATATCACTTTTTTTATCTACAGTGTTAAATGTTGCCAGTTTAAGTCTTTAAAGTCACTTTTAAATTAAATTGGCAACATTGAATTATGTCGACAGAAGATATGAGACTCGCCAATTTCAGTATTCTCTCTTCAACTGATTTAATCAAATGAGAGGATTTTGAGCACGTTTGAAAAATTGAGTTGACAACATTAATTTTTTTTTATTTATTTATATGAAATGTTGCCAAGTTAATTCTAACGTCACTTTGAAATTAAATTGGCAACATTATTGGCATGTCACGTTTTCTATCTATCTAGTTGGCAACATTAAAGAACATACTAGATGTCACGTTTTTTATCTAAGTGTTAAATGTTGGCAGTTTAATTCTATGAAGTCACTTAAATTGGCAACATTGAATTATGTAGACAGAAGAAATGGCACTTGCCAATTTCAGTATTCTCTCTTCAACTGATTTAATTAAATGAGAGGACTTTGAAAAATTGAGTTGGCAACAATAAAAATTTTCTATTTAATTTATATGCATATACAATGTTGCCAAGTTAATTCTAACGTCACTTTGAAATTAAATTGGCAACATTAAATGATGTAGACAGAAAATATGAGACTTGTCAATTTCATGATTCTTCCTTCAATCAGTTTAATTGGAAAGAGTGGCAACATTAAAAAACACAGTAGATATGAAATTTGGCATGTCACGTTTTCTATCTATTGTATTAAATGTTTCCAGTTAAATTTTTTAAAGTTATTTTGAAACTAAATTGGCAACATTGAATTATGTAGACTTGCCAATTTCTTATATTCTCCCTTCTTGGAATGAGAAGACTTTGAACACGTTTAAAAAATTAAATTAACAACATTAAAAAAACATACTGGAAGTGACATTCAACTTGTTACGTTTTCTGTTTATATTTATTATGAAATGTTAAGTTAATTCTAACGAAACTTTGAAATTAAATTGGCAGTCTTGAATGATGTAGAGACAAAAGTTATAAGAGATGCCAGTTTCAGTTTTTCTCTTTCCAAATGATTTAATTAGAATGAGAGGATTTTGAAAAGCATTTGGAGTTTAAGAAAATAAGTTGACAACACTGAAAAACATACTATATGGAAAGTTTGACTTGTCACGTTTTTATCAACAGTATTAAATGTTGCTAGTTTAATTCTTTAAAGTCTCTTTGAAATTAAATTGGCAATGTTGAATTATATAGACGGAAGATATGAAACTTGCCAATTTCAATTTTCTCTCTTCAACTGATTTAATTAAATGAGAGGACTTTGAGCACGTTTGAAAAAATGAGTTGGCAACGTTAATTAATTTATGAATTAATTAATTAATTTATGAATTAATTTATATTATGAAATGTTGTCAAGTTAATTCCAACATTACTTTGAAATTAAATTGGTAACATTAAATTATGTAGACAGAAGATATGAGACTTGCCAATTTCATATATTCTCTTTTCTTCAAATGGGAAGACTTTGAACACGTTTATAAAATTGAGTTAGCGACATTAAAAAAAAACATACTAGATGTGACATTCAACATGTTACGTTTTCTAACCATTTTATGAAATATTGCCAAGTTAATTCTAACTACACTTTCAAATTAAATTGGCAGTATTGAATTATGAAGAGACAAAAAGAGTTGCCAATATTTACATATTTTCTCTCTTCAACTGATTTAATTAGAATGAGAGGACCTTTAGGAAGCAAATGCACGTTTTCTGACTATTGCACTAAATGTTGCCAAGTTAATTCTATAGTCACTGTGAAATTAAATTGGCAATATTGGATGATGTGCACAGAAGGTAATATACGACTTGCCAATTTCATATATTCTTTCTTCAACTGATTTAATTAGAATGCGATTACTTTGACAAACCTGTCGAGTTTGCAAATTGAGTTGGCAACATTGAAATTTGGCATGTTACGTTTTCTATGTATAGTATTAAATGTTAAATGTCTAAAGTCACTTTAAAATTAAATTGACAACACTAAATGATATAGAGTGCCAATTTAATACATATTTCTCAATTTCGTTTTGCCAATTTAGAATCTAAGACACAGGCCACTTGCTTATTTAATTGGGGCGTTTATTTTGTTTTGCATAAATTTTTATTTTTTAGGCCGTAATGTGCCGTGGATGTGGAAAATTCTGGACGGCCCTGCAAGTGGTATGGAGTACAGTATACGTGATTTGTGGAGCTGCGCAACTGATTTCGGGTATATTTTTCCTGATTTCCATCCCGGCTCTCCACCTTACTTGCAACATATGGACCGGATCGTGGGTGAGCAATTTTCCATACCACTCCATTTACATAATCTTGTTGCCAGCGTGGGTTGTTAAAAACAACTAATTCGAGCTTTTTAATTGAATCTGTTCACGTGTCATCAACGCGTGATTTGAAGCGCTTTTTTATGTTATCTGTTTTTGCTTAAAATAAAACTATTGATGCGTGAAATTTCGTGCCATATCGATGGTTATAAATTTTTCAAAATTGCGTACTGTTATTCCAGTCGTAATCAGAGATAATTAATCCGTTGATGATTAACATGTTGCTAACATTAGATAAATTATTACCGTTACGACTTTAAGCAATAACAATTAATCTACATAATTTTTTCAAAACGACACGAACTTGCTTCAGGCTTTTTCACCGATCTGTATATGCAAAATAATTGTTTCCACAACAACCGGTTAATAAAATGCGAATTTTTATTGCCATTAGCCGAAATTACGGGATTTGGTTTTTATTTGTTTTTCGTTTAGAGGTGATTTGCGATGCAAATTTTTCAAAATATGCCGAGTTATGGATTTAGAGCACAATCCACAAATACATATTATTTTGCAAATGAATATGAATTATTTCCAAGCCTCAAAATAGAACAGAATCAAGTAAATATTTGTTTATATTCTGCCAGAACCAGAAGCAGTCAAAATTAAACATTCAACAAGGTCACAAATACATTTTTAGCATAAAAAATAGCAGGGGGCAAACAGCCGCTATGATCGGCTAAAGGTCGTAGAAATAACTTTTTAGATTATAATACAGTGTGTCAAACTCGCGCCCCAGAGAAAAATTTCAAATAAAATATACACCAAGAACATGAAAAAAATGTTTAAAATATTCTGTCTGTGAAAAATTTTTGACAATTGACATTTTTTGTCCATTTAATGATGCTGATGATCTTGTATATGTTTTTTTATAATTATTTAGTAAAGGTACAAAAATTTTCTCAATAAAAGTCACAAATAACATTAAACAAAGCTACAATTTAGGATTCAGCTTGCTTGTTTCCTCTCCTAATAGCCTGTAGCAAAATTATTTTTCCAACAGAAATAAATAGAGTCAAAGTGCAAGATTTAAACTCTCATAACTTAGAAATTTTGTAAATAGAGTTTTTTAAACAAGTTTTGGTGAGTTCTGGCGCACCCTGTATATTTTTAGACTTTGTCGTAAAGTTATGTGAATCACCCTACAGTTTTGTTTAAGTAATTTTTTTGTTGTTTTATTGTCGTCGCACTCTTCTTTTTTCTTTTTTTATTTCGCAAACACTTCGGATAACAAGAAAAGTCACAATAAGTGCTCCATCGAACCTTAAACTCTAACAATAAAATAAATTTAAAGCCGGATCACCTGGATTTCAATTTCCAGTATTATTATCCCAAACGACATAGCTCTTGATCTCGAAACATAACATTTGAAATAGTTTTAAAGCAATTAGAGAAAAACTTCGTCAGCTACTTACTCTACATTATGAAATACCGGATTTTCTTATCTACAAGCCAAGTTGACTAGCAATAAAAGAACTTCCTCCAGTAACGACGAAAATAAAACAGGAAGCGAAGAACAGCCGAGAATTAATAAAATGAGAATAATTTATGCGTATATATGCGAGAAAAATAGATACAGGGTGTTTCCCAGACATCGCGAATTCTAAAACTAAAAAAATTAAAATAAAAAACAATTTGTCATATTTTCTCTTTATTAAATACTCAACCCTATTGGCGAATTTCCACTTTTTCAAATCAAATTAACAACACACTATAACGGAAGAAGTGCTGAATCAGTGTTGCCAGGTGTGATGAAATTTCACCAAATCTGGTAATTTTTTCGCTGGTGAAAACCTTTGTAAAAATTCTAATAGGTGATTTTTAGGGAAATTAAGAAAATTGTTGTAACTTTGCGGTTACAAAAAAATACTATTTTTCAATTTACTGATAAGTATATGCAGTATTTAGGTCAAAAATAAATGATACTATTTTTAGATATTTTGAGAGATTTTTCACGTTTTTCAACCAGAAATTTCAACCTGAGGATGACCACTTTGTGGTCGAAACGCGTTGTGCTATTAAAATAAAAGTTTGGTGTGACGGGCTAATCGTGTTTTTGTTCATCGTTTCCATACCAAGAAGATCCAAGAAGAAGAACCAGAAATTTGATTATTTCGTCAAATAAAAAAACTACCAAAATGGTTAAAAATGGTTCTATTTGTTTTATGTGATTTTACTAAAGATTTACTTTGGTCTCTGAATCTTGTGGTAGGTATATTTTTCAGCTATAAACACAAAACAAGCCAAAATCCAAAAATAGGTCAAAAATGATGTTATTTTTGCTTTTTTTCGGGTGTTTAAGCACGTTTTTGACATAAAAACAAAATAATCGAAAAATGTGGTTTAAACAGATTAAAAAATTACAACATTACATCGAAATTAATATTAATTTAAACCAGAGGCTCATTTATTTTGTAAAATCTTGTCTAAATTTATAAATTACAAAAAGAATTGACACTGATGTTATTTTGTATAAATTGTAATATCAGGTAATTTTTTGGAAATTAAAAAAATTGTTGTAACTTTGCGGTTACAAAAAAATACTAAACTAGTTTTTCAATTTATTGATATATGTATGCTGTAAATTTAGGTCAGAAATAAATGATACTATTTTTAGATATTTTGAGAGCATTTTTCACGTTTTTTAACCAGAAATTTGACTATTTCGTCAAATTAAAAAAAATCGAAAAACCATCAAACTGGCCAGAAATGGTATTTATTTTATGTGATTTTACTAAAGATTTACTTTGATCTTTTCTGAATGCTTAAGTAGGTATATTTTTGAGCTAAAAACACAATTATTTTGCTTAAAAATTAGCCAAAATTCAAGAAAACGCCAAAAATGATTTTCTTTTTTCTTTTGTCGGGTGTTTAAGCACGTTTTTGAAACAAAAACAAAATAATCGAAAAATGTGGTTTAAACAGATTAAAAAATTCCAAAATTACATCGAAATTAATATTATTTTGAACCAGAGGCTCATTTATTTTGCAAAATCTTGCCTAAACACGTTTAAAAAATACAAAGAGACACTGATGTTATTTTGTATAAATTTATTATGAGTTGGCTTTTTTCTACCTGTTAACACATGCTTTATTTAAGGCTTTGTTTGTAATATCAGGTAATTTTTTGGAAATTAAAAAAATTGTAACTTTGCGGTTAAAAAAAATACTAAACAAATTTTTCAATTTATTGATATATGTATGATGTAAATTTAGGTCAGAAATAAATGATACTACTTTTAGATATTTTGAGAGCATTTTTCACGTTTTTTAACCAGAAATTTGACTATTTCGTCAAATTAAAAAAAAATCGTAAAACTACCAAACTGGCCAGAAATGGTATTTATTTTATGTGATTTTACTAATGATTTTCTTTGGCCTTTTCTGAATGCTTTTGTAGGTATATTTTTCAGCTAAAAACACATTTGTTTTGTAAAAACAAGCCAAAATTCAACAAAATATGCCAAAAACGATGGGTTTTTTTGCTTTTTTTGACAAATTAAGTCGAAAATTATATTATTTTTGCATTTATTGAGTGTTTTAGCACGTTATTCAGGTGAGAACGCAATTATTTTACAAAATTTTGTTAAAAACAAGCCGAAAAAGTATAGAATTAGACTGAAAACTTTGTCACTTTTACCTTTTTCGAAAGTTTAAATAAATTTAAACGAGTCAAAATAACTAATTTTTTATATTATATTTTTACTTTTAGGCTTCAACCACTTAGTTTATATTTAAAAATCGCAAATGTTTGCCACTATTGGAAAGATTTAATTTTTTTTTTGAGATGGCAACACTGCGCTGAATAGCCCAAGGATCCAGAACTTTTTATTATTATTATTTCCCAAAAATGTGTTCTTCTGACTCTCGTAATGTAGTCCAGTTCTTCATATATCATAGTTCATGTAGTTGAAGATTTATTCGAGTAAAAATGCCTCACTGTCCGCGACCACTGCGAAGAAATTTATTTCGCTTGTTTTTCCCAGCAATAAATAATGCCATTTGCGAGAAGTTGGCAATTTTAATGGGGGATATTGTGGCCGGCAAGCATTGCTTTGTCCTTTTATGCCTTTCATTAATATGAATTAAGGAACGAAACATTTTTCATTGCCTCTCGTAATGTCGTTAAACGGGCGTCTATCTGACTGGACGTCATCAGCATTAACGATTGAACATTTCTTTTTCAAGAAAAACTGTTTACATTATGCAACCAAATATACAGCACAAGCTAATTTAATCGCATCGAATGTCACAAGACTAATGTTATTTGAAATGACGGTTGGGTCTATTCCGGCACCTCCGCCAAATGTGTTCCAAAAGTTTTACTCATTTTTTGTACAAGATTTATTGATTTGTGCATTGGTAATGGCAAAAAGTCGACTTACTGCGCACCTCCGACGTCGCAAATAATTTATTAGCGCTTATTTAATTTACACCGGCCATATATCACACTTATAGTTGTATATAATTACCATAAATTACTAATCGGTTAAACGAAATTCTACAAGGTGTAAAATCTCACGTCTCAATATTTAATAAAAATTTAAATATTTGAAAAAAAAACAAAACATAAAGCTTCAGGTCGAAAATTAAATGGAGTTGATTTATTAAAAATTAACAGTTTTAGTCTATTAGATTGAATAAACAATTTCTTATTTATTTAGGTATTATACAGGCTGTTCCAGCTAAACCCCATATTAGAAGTATTGGGAGTTCTAACTGTGATATTTATCTAAAATTTTGATCATTTAGATCCTGCTCAACGAAAATATTTTCAAGATGGCAGCAATTCCGGTTACACCGGAAATGGGTATTAACTTCGTTATTTTAAATAGAAAGTTATGTTTTTTATTGCGTTTTTGGATTACTCAAGTGATTTTGAGAGAGTTTTTATCAGACTTCCCTATCTAAATTTAACTTTTTTTATGTTTTTATTTACATATTCCTCTCGAA